CATGTCGAGATCTTCAAAACTAGATCCCATGTTGATAGGTTTTGACGAACTTTTTTTTCACGAAACTGTGCCTCTCGTGAAAGATAAAAAACAGAAAACGTGTTTTTTTCCCTTTCCGAAAGAGGCATGCCCGTGCGTCTCGCGGAAGCAAAACCGTGCCTCTCGCGAAAGAAAAAAGAACAAAAAACATGTTTTTTTTCGTTTTCAAGAGGGACGGCCGTGCCTCTCGCGAAAACAAAATCGTGACTCCCGCAAAAAAAATGCATTTTTTGTGAAAAAAAATTCGAATTTTTTTGGTCGAAAAGCTAGAAAAGACCGGTAAAAAACCAAAACGTCAAAAAAAAACCCGAAAAAACCTTTTTAAAAAACCGAAAACGCATGCGTAAAAAAATCCGAAGGGAGCGTCCAAAACGCGACACGTGGCGAATGACTGTGAGCGCGCCAAGTGGGGCTGATCGTTGCAAGGCTCCCGGTGCGCGCGTCGTCAGTCCGCACTATGGCGCCGGCGGGCGGCAAAAAATTCGCCGAAACCATCGGCCGGCATGGCAAAGGGGGTGAAAAGATCACCCGAATTCGTGGTGGATTTGGGGGCAACCTCCCGCCGTGTCGCCCGTGCACGCCGCTTCGGATATCCCCCCGGCCCCCGCTGCGCGGCCGAATTTCGTGTTTTGACCCTTTTTGGAAAGGATTTCAGGATCTGACCCCTGTTGGAATTTTTTTTGAGATTTGACCCTTTTTCTACCGCCAGGGCCTACGGCGGTAGGGTTAGATAGCCTACCGCCACGGCCCATGGCGGTAGGGGTGCGACGGAGGGGGACGGCGGCCGTTTGACTGCGCTGACGTGGATAAGTACCTACCGCCAGGAGGCCTGGCGGTAGGCTGTCCAAACCTACCGCTAGAGCACCTGGCGGTAGGGTCCTGTCTCAGTGTAACGATTCTGTAACGAAGAATTGAGTTGCCCTGGCGGTAGGCTGTCTGACCCTACCGCCAGGGGCCTTGGCGGTAGGTCTTGTTTTTTCAGTGTAACGATTCTGTAACGAAGAATTGAGTTGCCCTGGCGGTAGGCTGTCTGACCCTACCGCCAGGGGCCTTGGCGGTAGGGTCCTGTGTTTTATGAATTTAAGTTCATTTGCTTGCTTCTTTTCAAATTCAATATGACAATAATATTATAGCAATTTTCACAAATATGACAACAATATCACAGATCTCAAACAATTAAACTTGGGCATCACATACACATTAACAAATTTGAAGTGCATAGAACATTTCAAACGAACTTCAACTAATTAGTAAACAGAGTTCCACATAGTTTCACAAATAGCAAACACATAGATCCACAAATAGCAAACACATAGTTCCACGTAGCTTCATAACCACCCGAATAGTTCAATCAAACGAAGTTCAACGAAACTAAAAGAGCCAACTATCGAAGAGCATAATCAGTTGCTCCTTCCCCTCTTGGAGGTACGGTCCTCGTTACTCTTTGAACGATGCTCTTCGGTCTTCTTCTTGGGCCCTCGAGGAAACGGTCTCTGGAAAGGGTCCGGACTCAGCAAATCCTTCTTCTTTGGATTCCTCTTCTTCGGCAGCTGAGATGCTTGAGACGTTTGAGTTGCTGGAGGTCCATAATCTTCATCGTACTCCTCCTCCCCGTTGCTCTCATCCTCCTCCTCCCCTTCTTCATATATGGCCTCCTCCTCCTCCTCCTCCTCCTCCTCCTCTCCAACCAACCTAGACGACGAGGGAGCATGGCTCGATGAGCCGATGATACCCTGTGTGGCTACAGGCTGATGAGCTTCAACTGACCCAGCTCCAGCACACCCAAGCAGCCCTACCAGCTTGCAACAACGCTGCACGAACTTCTGCACTCACAATGAAGCAAGGTCATAATAAGTTCAGATCGACTGACTGCAAGTGAACAAGATGCATCTGTTCCGAGGAGACTGAAATTGTACCTTCATCGTCCCCCTGACTTTGGTCTCAGATTGTACGCTCCCGGGAAGATGACCTAGTGCATCTGAGGCTTCAAAGATGCATCTATTCAGCTCACCAGATACCACAGTCCGCATCGCACATCACGTTCAGATCAAAGGCCCACTCTCATTCTTGTCGATACGGGCACCAGATTACCTATTACATATACCTTGGTAAGTTCGCACTCTTGGTCAATAGCGGAATCAAAGAGAAAGGTGTTGTGCGAGTTCATATACCTGTGTATGCGTCAAAGCGTCCAACTCGTTGGTGTAGGTCTTGTACGAAGTCTTGTTTAGACCCGTGTAGAGTTTGACAACGTCCCACTCGTAAGCTACGGTGGGGTTTCGAGTCTCGTCGCCTTCTTCGCCATAGTCTTCCCATGGGCGTCTTGGCAACTTCTCCGGACGCCCCACCGGCAGCCGCTCCCACATCCAAATGGAGAAGGCCCAGACAAAGCCACCCATATTGGACTTGTCTCCCGTCCTCTGCGTTGCGTCGTCAAGCTACAAAACATCAAATGAGGATTAGATATAAGAAAATGTCATGGACACACTTTCGTAGGTAGGTACGCAATTAGACACTCTCTTACCGAACAGTATAGGTAGGCGAGAGATGCCGTCCCCCAACTGTACCCTGCATCCCGGTCCGCTAGGAACAACAGATACACCCAGTTGGCAGAGTTCCCGGAGCTGTCCGGAAACACGACCTCCGAGAGAATATACCACAGATAGGCCCTCGCGTACAACTCCACAGTCGCCTCATCTGCGCCTTGGGGGCATGTCCTCCGGTGCTCCGAGAGCCAGGGCAATGGCACACCGGATGTACGGTTACTCTTGGCACCGGGCAGTCGCCGATGAGGGTGGTGACCCTCTCCTACCAGTTGGCCCTCTCCACTCGACCGGTGAGTGCATGACCCTCGATCGGCATTGCAGTAATCATCCCCCAGTCCTTTAGGGTCACCGTCATCTCCCCGCATGGCAGATGGAAAGAATGGGTCTCCGGTCTCCAACGGTCAATCAGTGCTGTGAGAGCCGCGTGGACAAGCGTCGGCGGCTGACGCTTGAACTGCAGCACGAAACCCAACAGACGGGCTCTCTTGAAGAACGGCGCGTAGCGCTCGTCGTAGTCCATATGCCCATGAACCCCGTGACCCCTCATGCGCAGTGGCTGGAGCGTCTGTTAAAAAGTGAACGCCAAAAAGTTAGGAAATCATTTTCATCAATCCGAGAACTTTGATCAAAATTTCTTTCATATCACTTACCTCTCCGTTCTCTATGAAACGGGCACGATGACCCTTGCCGAATGCCCAGTCCAGCATACAGTACCGTGGGCCGATGTTGTCCGCAAGAGGTGGCCGCCTCAATAGAGTTTCATAAACAAAAGTACCATAAGCATAAGCATACATAAACAAACAATGAACTCAAATCATATCAAGATCAAATTTTAAGCATATTCCTCCAACAACATCTACTACACATGATGGATCAAATCATATCAACATGCATCATATAAAAAAAACCTCCAACATACATCATAGCTTCATATTTTTAAACAAAATTTTCCAAACAATATCTTCATATCATCATATCAACATGCATCATCAAACTAGGGTTCATCTTCACACTAGAGAATATCATCATATCAACATGCATCATCAAACTAGGGTTCATCCCTTTATCAACAATACATCATAATTTTTTAACAAAAAAAATTATGAACTAGGGTTCATCTTCACACTAACATATGAACTATTGATTAGAGTACATATCCAATACCACTACTTACTAAAGAACTAAGAACTACGACTACAATCAATCTTAGGTGAAAAAAAATCAATCTAAGTTCAAAAACATGAGGGATTTCAAGCAAATAATGCGTCGAATCGATAGCAAGTTTGAAAAACTAATTGGAGGGATCGGAGGAGCTTACGGTTCTCTCCTCGGGGCCATCTCGATCCGCCAAAACGGTGAAGAATCGGTGAAGATCCAAGGGGGGGAGTGGAGGAGATGAGAGAGGGGGAGAGGGGCGACTTGGGGGAGAAAGAAAGAAGAAACTGCCGACTTGGGGGAGGGGAGGGGTGGGGAGAAGGGAAGGGGCGCGGTCTCGGGCGAAATAACTGCCCCGCACCCTACCGCCAGGGCCCCTGGCGGTAAGGTTAGATAGCCTACCGCCAGGGCCCATGACGGTAGGGTGCGACGGAGGGGGACGGCGCCGTCTCCGCATGCTGACGTGGATAAGTTTTCTACGCCCATGGAACCTGGCGGTAGGCTATCTAACCCTACCGCCAGATGCCATGGCGGTAGGCAAAAGGGTCAAATCTCGAAATTTTTTCAAACCAGAATCAGATCCTGAAATACTTTCTAAAAAGGGTCAAAACACGAAATTCGGCCCCGCTGCGCCAAACCCAAACCAAAACGACCCCGTACCAAAGCCGGATCGCGTCGTAGGGTCCGCGCGACCGCACCCGCACGGGCGCCCCAACCCAACCCAACCCACCCCCCACCCGCCGCACCATCCCATCTCCTCCCCTCCCCTCCCCGCCGGCCGCCTCGTCTCCTCGCGTCGCGTCCACTCCCCTACCCGGAGTCCAACGCCCCCCGTGTGTCTCTCTCCCCCCCTTCCTCCACCCGCAGCGGAGAGGAAAGAAAGCCCTCCAAGAAGAGGAAGAAGAAGCGAACTCGGATCCGCGCCCCGCCCCAGTCAAATCAATCCCCTCCGAATCTCGCCGCGGGCGCCGCAGGTACTCCCGTCCGATCCATCCACCGATCCCCTCGCTCCCCCATTTCTTTCCTCGATTGGCCCCTTTCCTTTTGCGGCGCCGGTAGAAAATTAGGGTTTTTTATTTCCGCATTTTGGCGATCCCGCGTGACGGCATCTCTCTCCCCGCCTTTGTTTCTCCGCAGGATCGCCGTCAAACCCTAGGGAGGAAGGCGGACAAGGGTGCGCCAGCGCGAGCCTCGGCTCCCCATGCCCTAGCCGGCCGGCCTGCCCGCCTCCTTTGTTGCCGCCGGTCGCCTTGGGGCTCGATGTCGTGGAGGGATCCCGCGGTGCGGGCGACGGGGAGGTTCAACTCCCGGCCGCAGCCTGTGCCGCCGGCCACGCCGCACCCCCCGCCGGTGGTGGTTATCGACGAGGATGAGGACGACGTTGCTGCGGAATCTGAGGTTTTCATTATTGATGATGATGATGATGTGGAGATAGCCCGTGTGACGGCTGCGTGCAGTAGCAAGAAAGGGAACAGCTCTTGTAGCAATGTGATCAACATAGATGATGATGATGACGAGGAGGAGGAAGAGGAGGGTGGTCGGGCTGGCCCCAGCATGGCAGGCGCCGGCTCTCCAGCGGCGACAACTACCCCTGTGCGTGCTTCTCCTAGAAACAGATATGGGCTGGATTATGTTTCTGACAGTGAGGACAGTGATCTCTCTGAAGGACCGGACTCAGACTCAGACGGCGATGGCAGCTCGGATTGTGAGATTCTGGGTGACACTGGGACTGCTCGTAAGGTTTGGGAGAAGGCTGCTTCAAGAAGAACAACGCTTCATCATCCCCCGCATCAAAAAGATGGCAGGGCTAGTACTTCTGCATCGAGTGCCGAGTCAAGTACACACTATGATGAACCTCCAGAGAACCTCTTCTCTCCAGTGTGCCCTCTAGATAATGACATCTTGAAATATTTTAGTGGTGCATTTAACCCAGCTGGGCAAAGTAGTAGAAATGGTGCAAAACATGGCACTGGCCCTTCTTCAGTGCCTAATGCCCAGGAAGGTCCGATTGACAATGATTCCCATGGAAAAGAAACTGAAGACCACAATCCCGCTCGCAGTTCAGATCCTGATATGCGTTACAATGGCCCTGTTCCTGAAAAAGCCCCAGAAAGAAGTCACCATCCTCACCTAGATGAAACCATGAAACCCGAAGGGCACACACGCTATAACTTTGTCTCTGCAAATAGGGTTTTTCCTGCATACTCAGCTGATTGTAAAGATGATAGTCCTATATTTGTCAGCACTCCTGAAAGGATGGATGAAAAAATACCTGAAGGCACATCTTTGGCAAAGGATGGACGGACTGCCCACAATGAAGCTGCCAAACAGAAGAAAAAGATGTGCTTTGCACCAGATGATGATTCTTGTGTGGATCAACTCAGAGAAGATCCAGTTTTTACTAGCAGGCTTGGTGGCTTGAGACAATCTGGAGAATACTTTAATGATAATGCTCCCACAAATGAAGCATCGGGGACTTGCTCCTTGCCTCAGAAGGATTTGGTTGAAGATCCTGAAAAGTTAGGACAATCTTCTATGATAATTGGCGGCCGTGAAAAGCACAAAGAATCTGATGAGTACAAAAGGGCACAAGAGGAGGAGTGGGCATGCAGACAGCGTCAGTTAGCAATACAGGTATATTAATTTGCCTGCTTATAATTTGTCTTGAACTAGAACTATGCAGCGAACAGCAATACAGGTAAAGCTGATAAGTGTATATTAAGTCTGTTAATTTTAAGGAGCAGCAGGCTTATACTATTGTGTCTTTGGCATGCCTACTTTTAAGGATTTTTTTCTTTAATTATATGATCGGAATTCAAAATCTCACACTGGCACATGATTCATGATTTTATTTTGTTTTCAAAAAAATATCACAGGCTGAAGAGGCAAAAGAGGCAAAGAGGCTACGGAAGAGAAAAAAGGCTGAAGCTTTGCGACTGCTCGACATGGAGAAGAGACAAAAGCAAAGACTGGAAGAAGTCCGTGAAACACAAAGAAAGGTCTCTGTTCTAACTTATACAACGGCTAGCTGATTCGTGCATGATTCTCTGCCATCCTTTGTAGTATCTAGGTCATTGTCTTTTTTCTTTGGGTGATCTTGTGTTGTACTTACTATCCCCCTTATTTTGTTGAAAAGAGTGAAGAAACTATACAGCTGAAGGAGCAGTGTCGAGGGGCGGTAAGATTGGAGCTTGAAATTATTGAAAGGAGATACACTGATATGACTTCAATATTGCGTGCATTGGGCATTCCTGTTGAAGGGGGCGAGGTATGTCGACATTACTAACATTACTGATACACACAACCTGCCTTGAGCTTCCTAGTGACAATAGATTATTTGCTCTTATCTCTGCTACGTAATATTTTGATTGCTGTATTGATTATGTTTATTTCTATGATTAGAAAGTATACAGATACCAATGGCTCTTGGGTATATAGCTTAAAAACTAAATATTTTGAAGAACCGTAGCTTCTAAATGCACCATAGCACATTTGGATCACTACCTGAATTTCATAAACAAATGTTATGGTCCAGATCTACAGATAGTCCTGAATGTAAGCACTGGAAAACATAATTTTTGTGCAATGACCATATGTAAATAAAAATGTTCTATCTCCTAATGACAGCTTTCTGATACCATGCTTATTCTTTCAGGTTAAAGCTGCCTATAAGCAAGCCCTCCTGAAGTTCCATCCGGACAGAGTATCGAGAAACGATATTTATGAGCAGGTCAAAGCAGAGGAGACGTTCAAGTTCATCTCGCGCTTTAAGGAGAAGCTGAGGATATAGCTTCCCTGCTACCAGTTATGTAGGAGGGTTAACTTTTTGATAGGCTGAAATCTTGTCAGCAGGTCAAGCTGTGAAATTAATTGACGCTGAACGTAAGACAGTGTAATCCTTAGGATTAGCGCGGAGCATTCCTGATCCATCATTTGAGTTTTTCTTTTCAGTGGCATGTGCTCTGCTTAGCTTAATGTTATTCCAAGTTTAATACCGGGGAAATGTTTAGAGGTGGCAGGTAGAAGGATCGTTTTCACTGATGACCCATCACCAGTGCTTTTTTCCCATGACGAGAAACGAAGGACTGCTGATTGTACGATTTGTTTCCCTGCAATTTTTTGAGCAGTCAACTATACCTGTAATATAAGTGAAAATGATTATTTCTTCTCCAATGTTGAAACAATGGCGTTATCAAAATCTGAACGATGGGAGAGATGTGAAGACGCCTAAGGTCTGGTTTTCTTTATTTTTGGCCGCCCGATTACTTGATGCTTGTAATCGGAGGCCACAATGGAAGCTGGCTGGCTGCACGCAGCCAGCTCCTTGCTGGCATTGCAATGTCTGAACTTGCTGAAGCGTGGGCGCTTCGTGGTGGCCGTTTCCCTTGCCTGATGAAGGCTTAGCCTCGGTGATTTTCCATTCTGACGACTTGGCTATCTCTGGTGCAAACGATCAACTCGGGGACAATCCACAGATTGTATGTGGGCGCGGCGGTGGCAGACGTCAAGAACTTGCTGGAGCCTTTCTCTCCTGTCAAGAACTCTTTGGCGGAGATCGTAGCTACGTCCTGTGGGCAAGCTGTAAACCGTGGTGTTCCATCGTAAATGAAGTGCCCAAGTTTTTTTAAAAAAAAATTAAAAATAAAATAAAAATGAAAACGAGCTTATTATTTTGGAAGATCAACTTGAACTCTGTAGGAATACACTCGTGATGTACATCTCGTGTTTGTTGCTGGGGAGCTTCCTCTTCTAGAAGCTCCTATATGCCGCTCTCTGGCGGGAGCTATATCTCTAGCGAGACACATGCTCCCCTCGCCTAAAGCTTTTCGGGACGTCCAGTTTCGCTCAGTTTTCAATCGTTGGCAACTCGCTCGGACGCTTGTCCGCTCGGGTTTCACTAGTTCGCTCACTTCTTTTGGTTCGTTTTGGTTTTCCTATTTTCATTTCCTCTTATTTTTTTTCGTTTTTGCTGATTCTTCACTGGTTTTTTAATTTTGCTGCTTCCTTTGTTTTATCATCGGTTCTCTTTATTTCTTTCACAGTTTTTACTGATTTTTTATTTTATTTTCCTTCCATTTTCTTTGTTTCATTCTCGGGTTTCACTGTTCTTTTAAACCTTTTTTTCTTTCTACCTTCTTCTTTGTTTCTTTATTTTTCATCGGTTTTATTTGTTATCTTTGTTTTCCTATTTGGTTTTTTCTGTTTCCATTCTTTTGAATTGGTTTTCTTCGTTTTTTTTCTTGCTTTACTTTTTTTATTGGGTTCCATTCTTCCAATTTATTTCTTTGTCATTTTTATCGCTTTGTTTTTTGTTTAACACATGACAACCTTTTTCAGTACACATTCAACATTTTTCGCATACATCAGAAACATTTCTTGTATACACGTTTAACATTCTGAAGTACATGATTAAGATATTTCAAAAACTTAGATTTTTTATGTCTACTTTTTCTCATACACAATGCACACTTGTGGTATATTTTTAACACATTTTATAAGACACATTTAACATTTTATAAATACACTATTAATATTTTTTGAATACATGGTCAACATTTATCAGTACATGTTTAATATTTTATTAATAGCAATAAACATTTTTCACACACCGTATACATTTTTCGTATACAATAGGAACATGTGTACATACATGTTTCACATTTTTAAATACAGAACCAACTTTCTTAAACATATATTTTTTATGTCTACTTTTATTTAATGTATGTCATACATTTATTGTATACACCAGGAATATTTTTTATACACGTTTAATATTTCTTAAATACGTGATAAACATTTGATCACATTGTATTTGCTTTGCATATATCTTTTGGATACATAACAAACAGTTTTCCATACATATTTAACATTTTCAACCGGTTGATTAACATTTTCAAATGCTTGATAAACATTTTTTAAATGTTTGATTAACATTTTTTATATAGATGATCAACTTTTTTCATACACATTGTATATTGTTTATATACACTTTTCGTATACATGAGAAACATTTCTCTATACAGGTTGAATATTTTTTAAATGCTTGGTTAATATATATATATATTTTAAACCTTGTATGTAAATTATTTATTATAATACATATATTTGGAATATATGAAAGTATAGAAAACAAAAAAAAACAAAAAGAAGAGCGTGAAAAAACAGGAGAAGAAATAAGGCAGTGCCCTGTGGTCTGTGCCTTCCCGCTCGCTGGGCCGGCCATTTTGGGAGTCGCCTGACGCAAGCTATGGGTCAGTTTGGATGGAGACCTGAAGGTCCAGCCAGCCTGGAAGAAACTAGCGCCTGGAACTAGCCTGGAATTCATACGATTTTTGCCTGGCCAGGCAAGTGTCATATTGATGTGTTTGGTTGGTGACCTGTAGCCGACCGTGAATAGCATGGAAACTTGTGCGTGATACGGCCCAGCAATCAAGGAAGTCCGTCCTTTCCCTTTCCTAATCATGCAATTAAAGCCCAGGCAGATGGCCAGGCGCTCGTTTTTGGTCGCCTGGGACAAGATGCCTGGCCTGGATGGTTCTAATTATGGGATTAGTCATAGCCTGCAGCGGCGGACGCTCAGGCACTAGTTTTTTTGTCGCCTGCGCCTGGAAGGCTGGCCTGGACCAGGGAGCTTTTGTGGATGGTAACCAAACAAAGTCCAGGCAGCCTCCAGGGAGGCACCAGGCCAGGCGCGCGGCCACCAGGACGAGAACCAAACATGCCTTATGTCTCGCTTTCCACAGGGAAACCTCGAGTGAAGCGCGAGATGGGCCGGCCAGGTGCGCAGTTCAATTCTGGAGGCACTTTCGGAGGGATCATTATTATATATGGAGATAAAGCAAATAGAAACGTCCTTTATTCCATGTAATTTTGTGCATAGAGCTACAAACCATGAGCTAGATAGCTAGGCTTGGTACTACTCTTCCTCAGGGGAGACATATTTGGTTGGGATGACCCCGCAATTCTCTTGTTATGCCTGTAAATGTTGATATGAGTTAATAAAGCCTAGCTGTCTTTTCTAAAAAAAAACCTTTTCGTTTTTTCTATAAGTTTTCACTTTTTTTATACTTCCAAATATTCTACATAAATACATTGCAAAAGTACTTTACATAAAATATTCAAAAAAATGTTAACCAAGCCTTTGAAAAATGTTAAATGTGGATAGAGAAAATGTTTCTCATGTATATGAAAGATGTATACAAAAAATATACAATGTGTGTGAAAAAAGTGGATCCTGTATTTCAAAAAATGTTAATAAAAACATTTGGAAAATATATTAAACAAGTATGTGAAAAGCATTAATCAAGCATATGGTTTTAAAAAAATGTGTATATAGATATTTTGACCATATATTAAAAAAATGTTAACTTGTATTAATTTTTGTGGATCAAAAATTCAAAAAATGTTAAATTTTTATATAAAAATGTGGATCATTTATTAAGAAAATTTTAAACTCGTATGATAATCAAGCATTGGAAAGAATTGTTAATGTGTATAGAAAAATGTTGACCATGCATAACTATTAATCTTGTATTGGGAAAATGTTAATCAAGCATTTGAAAAATGTCAAGTGTGTATAGAAAAAATGTACTTTACATAAAATATTTCAATAAAAAATGTTAACCAAGCATTTAGAAAAATGTTAAATGTGGATAGGGAAAATGTTTCTCATGTATACGAAAGATGTATACAAAAAATATACAATGTGCATGAAAAAAGTGGATCCTATATTTCAAAAAATGTTAATCAAAACATTTGAAAATATATTAAACAAGTATGTGAAAAGCATTAGTTAAGCATTTGTTTTTTTAAATGTGTATATAGATACTTTGACCATATATATAAAAAAGTTAACTTGTATTAATTTTTTTGAATCAAACAGTTCACGAATGTTAAATGTTTATATAAAAATGTTGATCATGTATTAAGAAAAAAAATTAAACTTGTAGTTAGAAAATGTTAATCAAGCATTGGAAAGAATTGTTAAATGTGTATAGAAAAATGTTGACCGTGTGTAACTGTTAATCTTGTATTTGGAAAATGTTAATCAATCATTTGAAAAATGTCAAATATGTAAAGAAAAACGTTGACCTTTTGTTCAATAAATGTTAATCTTATGTTGGAAAAGTGTTAAACGTGTAGTAGAAAAAATGTATTACATATGTATACAAAACTGTATAGAAAAACAGTGAAAATAAATGAGGAAAAATAAAGAAAAGAAAAACCCACTGAAAGTTAGAAAGAAAAAAATAAAACTAATGACAAACGAAGAAAAAAAGGAAGAAAGAAAAGCAGCAAAAAGAAAGAAAGAAAAAAGACCAGTTGAAAAAAAAAGGAAAAACAACAAAAAAGTGGAAAACGGTTCTTTTCCTTCAACTTGGTCGCAACCTACTAACTTATCACGGACGCGACGGTGACTAGGTGGCTAGCCAGTGCAACACTGCAGCAAGGACATCCCGGGATTGAATCCCGAGCACTTTCTTTTTCTCAACTCTATTTGTTTTAAGTATGCGCTAATGGGCTGGTCCATTACTATAGATGCTTTAGGCGAAAGCTCTTACCGTCTCGCTATAATGAAGATATACCTCTCGCGACCGCACTCTCTGCAAACACTCGGTATCCTGTAAAGAGGAGCACCCCAACTCGGTTGGCACATGGCATACTGAAGCCACTTGGCTACTGTAGCAAAGGCTTTTTGGTTTTCATTTGGTTTATCTAAAACTATGAACATTGTTTTTAGTGTGAAACCTTTTGAAATTTGCCAACATTTTTTATTTAAAAATGAACATT